ATAATATATTATATATAATTTAATATATATAATATATATAAATTTTATTTCTTATTAAAAAAAATTGTTTGAGCAAAATAATAAATGATTTTATAATTCATCTTATCACTTTTTTTGGTTCCAAGAAAATCTTATGTTAAATATTTGCAATAATGATATAATGTTTATAAAGAGTTCAAACTAAATTTACTATTAATGTGACTTTTTAGACACACCCTGAACGATTTAAAAATGGACAGGTCGCAAAATTCTGTGAAGAAAAGAAATCGTTTGTCAATCATATTTATCTTCTTGATATGAGAATTTCTAATCTAGAAAAAGATAATTTTGATTCAATTTGATTAAATGATTTCTTTTTCCATTGATTTGGAGATTTCTATTGCAGAAGTTCAACTATAACTATATACATATATATATATTATGATTTGGATATATTCATATTATTCTTTATATATATATTTTGTTTAAGCAGACATAATATTTATTGAATATAAAATAATATTTGTGGAAACTTTTTATGCTAATGCATCGATAGAAAAAAAAAAGTATTTTAAGTGATAAAATAATCTTAATACCTTAAAAGATGATAACGATGCCTTCTATTTAAACTTTAAAATCAAGTAGGAATGTTTAGTCCATATCTCTTTTAGAAATCTATAACTCATATCTTTAAGTCGCTTACTGTCGACTTATTTAATAACTTGTGTTTAAGAACTTATATTTGATCTAGATTCAGACTTATGTCGTTTGGCGCCACTGATACATTAATGATTACGTAATGATTACGATTATTCTGAATTTAATCAAATCAAAAATGAGATCACACATTTTTCTTTGAATCCTATCTCTTACGAGAAAATTTTTCTTCATTTCATGAATTAAAGTATTCAATTCTTATATTTTTTTTTTTTATAATTAAATTTAATTAGAAATAAATTTCAATATTCAATTTTTTTAAATAAAATATTCAAGTATTTCATAGTATTAACAACAACTAAAAATATAATAAAGTGTTTTAATATTAATAACAAATTATGGAACTAAAATAATAAAAGACAACTAGAGATAAAAACATACAAAACTAACGCTTTATTACATATTTTTTTTTTAAATAAACAAAATATCTCAAACTTACACAATATACATGAATTCCTCTTAAACTCGATAACAAATCCAGTTGAAATTTTTAAATTGCTTTTCAAGTTTAAAAAGAGAAAACTATTAATATACCATATTGCTTATAATTTTACAAGATAAACTTTCGCTAATGACTACCTCAAGAAAGAGGGCGTATCCAGCGAGAAACAATTTCCATTCCATTCGAGCACTTCATCTCGAAAGATATTCACTTCGTGATATATGGTTAAACGCCACGAGAAAGTAATCGAAGCAAAAGGCTTCGACAACCAGATGTAGACAAATTTTTTTCAAAACTCGTCCAGGACTTGCTCCGAGTACACAGAACTTGCCTCTGTGAATCAAACCCAGAGGACATTGCGATACGAACAAAATGGCGGTAAGTCGTTTTTCTGCAAACTGAGGCTTCATCATCTTACACATCATCTTACACAAAGTGCTCGACAAGTGTTCTCGCTTAAGATCGTTCGAGAAAATAAAAAAAGAAAAAGGAAAAAAACAACGAAAGAAAGGCAAGAACCACCATAATAATATTCGTTCCGAGGTGTCATTTTAAAAACATGGCCATCCACTTGAGCTTGACGAAAAGATCGAAATACAGGATAAGGAGAAATGGAGAAAAAGTGTACATTGAAGGACGAGGAAAGGAAACGTAGTTTTTTTTTTTCTTTTTTCCCTTTTTTTTTAAAACTTACGGCCACATGTCCCCTCGTAAATCTTGAAATAATAGTCCCTCGGTCCATTGAGAATCGACGAAACTCTCCTTTGCTTCGTTTCCACAGTATCCGGGAATCAGGTAGACGGTCCTGGCAAGGCTGCCGTCCCAGGCATCCGAGAGAATACCGAGAAAAAGGGTTTCTGAATTTCGCAACGTCCCGGAAACGGGGCTTACGGGAGGGAACCGAAGAGGAATGGCCCTTCTATGGTAAATAAGCGCCGGTACTGTCGTCTGTGTGAAAGTTTTGGAAAGAATTCGTGGCCCTTTTCGGTTTTCGTAAGAATTGTCGATAATTAACCCTTTTTCCCTTTTGAAATCGATTGATTTATCTTGATGATATAAATTGATAAGTTTGTATATGGTATTAGGATTTATATCTTTGTTCGAAGAGATTTTACCAAAATTATTTTGAAATGTTTTGGATTATGATTAGATGTTTGAGAGATAATTAGAATGGATGAAGAAGAATAAAATTTAAATCAAATGACGATAAAAATCTATAAAATTTATACTTTTATAAGTAAGTGTATTTATATTTTTTGATATTAATTAATCAAAAAATTATTATATATTATTTCATATCTTTGATATTGTTTTTAATATAGATCGGTAAATATAGAAAAGAAATAATTTATATTTCTTTATTTTTGCATTTTTTCATAGAATACGAATTTTTCAAATAAAAAAAAATTGCGTACATAAAAAATTGTTTAATTATTATTACATATGTTCATATATTATTTAATTTTCGTTTTTCCGAATATTATTTTCTTATAGTTTTTAAATCATTATCATATCACTATTAATTCTGATATTACATTTATCTATTGAGACACATTGTATTGACTTTATTGACAGATATAATATCGCAAGTCTACTAATCTTGCAATTGTTATTACTATTAAGATATTAATTGTAGAGGAAAGAAATATATGACTAGCTCTATCTTATTATCAAAAACTATACAAATAAAAATTCTCGTTTTTAAAAATTTTAAAAATTATTAAAATATTCGTCCAATTTTTTCCTTATCGCATTATTTGTTATAAACCTATAAAACATAATCTTTTACAATCGTATTTCATTTTGTAAGAGAGTATTTCACATTAAACTATACTCTTACTTCTTATCAAATATATCTCTCAATCTTTATTCATCAAATTAAATTTCCAAAGATCCAAAATCAAATTAAACAAGAAAAAATAAATTTCTACCAATTACACGATAATTAATCAATAATTACCAACGATCCAATTGATAAATCAAAAATAAATCGGACAAGAATAAAATAATCGGGATTACGCCTTTTTTGTCGGCGGCGAGATAATCTCGTATGGAATTACATTTCATCCATTGGATGCCGCGTTCCAAGAAGAAGGGTTGCCAAATTCCACGGCGAATCGGGCCAGGGTAAAAGGGATCCCGTGGGCCCGTTCCGAGAAACACCTCTTCGTTTTTCTCCACTATTTACCTTCGCCGCTTTCTATCGGTAGACACCAGGTAATACGCGATACGTGGTAGACCAGGTAGTCGGCGATAAGATAATTAAACGAAAGAATTTCGTGGGTGCTTGACACCTAACTAGTCGAGGCCTAAAAATAGAGATTGTGAATTGTTGCTCGAGATGCGGAAAAATAAATTTGTTAAGATTGCGAGCTGTATTGATAACGGCTAGATAAAGAGTAATGGTTACGTTGAGTTTATTCTGACTTTTCTTTTTTGTTCTTTTTCGTTTTTTGTCGAATAATGAAACGTTATACTTTTTAAAAGCTTAGAATATTGAAATGTATTAAATTGTTGTATGAAGTGATCAATCGAATAATATTTTATCCTTTTTTTATAAAAAAATAAATTTTGTATTATAATGAACTATCCGTAGAATTCGTGGGCTTTTCTATTATAAATTAATTAATTTAAGAATAAATTAAAATTATTAATAAAATATTCGAAATTGGATCAAAAAAATGTACAATCTATCATTGAAATTAAATTAAACTTTGAATTTTTATTGAGAATTCATTTATCTGTATTTTTATAAATCAACGTATCTTATATACTCTCCTAACAGTGATCTCAAAATATTCTGTTACACATCAGAAGATTAGTCTATTATTTAATTAAAACAAAAAAGATTAAGTCAATATCTTCGTTGATTTCCGAGCATTTAGAAAATATTTTATTAAGAGCTACAATTAGAATTGAGACGATTGCCTAAACAAGCGATAATCCAAATAAACTAATAGAAATGATAAGATTTTTTTTTTATACAGAAATATAATATAAATTATCGCATTATCGTATCATTATACGGAGGAGAGTCGATACGAAACGAAATATCGTATTTTGCGAATAATCGCATAACACGTGGAGTTGATTGTAACCAAGATATTTCAATCGATAATTAAAGTCAAAAAAAAACACCCGGTATGCAAAAGTAAGTGGTAACGATCGGCATTAAAGTACCATTTAACGTCAAATCACATCAAAGAGATTTCTCGTTCCTTCCGTTGCACTTGTGATATCGATCACGATCATCACCATTTTCTTTCCCTCCGCTTCTCTTCCTTCACCACCCTCGCGACTAATAAGGATCTCCGAGAACCACTTATTTTATTACAGAATAACACACACGTGCAACCATTCGTAATGGTGTACACTCAGAAATGGGATGGTACCGCTTTGTTCCTCGCGCTGACCTTCGTTCTATTAAAGTATAAATTGCTTTAAAGCACAGCGTGGGTAAGGTTTCAAGGCGTTTCGTCCATTGGCAACGGGATCTCTCCTTTTTTTCTTTTTTTTTTTTTCTTTTCTTTCAGATCAAAATGGGCTGCTTTTTGGAGAAAGAAGACACCGAGGCGAGAGAAAAAAACCAAAGAGAGGGTGGCGGAGAGAGGGAGAGAGAGAGAGAGAGAATGGTATCCCGAGCTCCACGAGAAATTGTCGTTTTACGACGTTTCCATAAATATCAAGGAGGATCGTGGAGAATAAACACATCCACTCGACGGCGTGACACCATTTATTACCCTCGGTACAGGCAAAGCCCAAACGACTTTCATCCCGCTTTCGAAGCTTTCTCCGAAGCACCCCGGTGTGCCGAAAAAGTGTCTCCATGTTGCTTTTTTCCTGTTCTATACACGACCCGATTTTTACGTAACTGGCGCCATTCTTCGTCAATCGCCGGCCTTCGACCTTTGACGCTTGTTGCGCAGATTTAATAAATATAGGGTATCCTGTAATCGAGATAATGCGAATTTAGGGATGAAAGAGGAAGATGAAGACAAAAATCTTTTCGTAATCTCTTTGGTTTTGATATTTAATGCTTGTTGCATCGATATTCATCGTGATGATTTAGAAGAGTTTTTATAATTAATTCATAAATAAAAATTCAAAGTTTTGTATCATTGTTCGTCAAATCATTCATATGTAACGATCATTATTCGAAATATCGTGGAAAAATTTAGAGAAGTTGCCAAAGTTGATAACGAGTTACCACTATCTCTGCTTTCTACGAATTTAAATGAAAGACACATTATCTTCGAGATGCAATCTTGAGCTACGGTATCTCGATCAATCGTAGATTAAAATCGATTTTGAATCGATGATTCGAATTATATACGAGCATTGCCCAAAAGACAATTTCTTCGATAGAGTTGTACATGTAATCTTGTCATCACGTTCGAGATTCCATGTGTATCGTGTTTAATCGAGAAAATTAGAAAACGGATATGATGGATATATGGGTATAACCGGTAGATGGCATACATTGGCGTTCGAAAGTATCGTGAAGTTCGTTTCGGCGTTGATAATCGACGACCTTCTTGATTCGCGTAATCTTCAAAAAGCAATAACTCAGTTACGAGTGGTGTCTGGTATCTGGTTTACACTGAGACGATAACGATGGGCAACCTAATTTCATGGACCAATTTCTAACCGTTCTCCATTTTGTTTGATAGTGGAGGCGACAGAAGTATCGTGTGCATTTGATGAAGTAGCATTTTTGGTAGTTGCTCCTTTATCTTAAGTTTTATGACGATGACGATGAATTGGGTGATGGTGAAATAATATAAAGTAGATAAATTATAAATCGTAGCAATAATGAGAATGGTCGATGATAGTAAGTAGAATTAATCAGATTATATCGTGACAGAATTAATGACATCTGTCATAAATTGAAAGCTTTTGGAAGAACATTTGATTCCAGTGAATTTTTTATTATTATTTTTTAATTTTTTATTTAGGCATGACTAAATCATGAACGAAAAGATATGTATACATGTGTCAAGTACATATTTACTTAATTAAACGTGATAAAATATTTGAAAGAAAGAAATACTAAAACTTTACATTGTTTTATTTAGCCTTTCCATTTAACCTTCCCTAATATAAGAAGCTTATTATATATGATCGCATGATATATGATATGTACTTTTTACTCTTTTTACAGTCACATGTTCACACCAATATTTGAAACTTGCTGAGATAAAATTTTTTTGTTTGCAAGTAGAGAATTAAAAATGATGGTAATGAATGTCACATTTTCCCAATTTAAAGAGATTAATATTTTTTCTTTTTCTCTAGAAAAAGACATTTCTGAAAAAATAAAAATTTTGTAAATGAAAACCACACAAGATATTATTTTGAATATCATCTCGTATGTGTAATCAAATTTATATTAGCTAATTAATTTATTTTTAAAAGGAGATGAAAAATATGTAGATAATTTTTGAAATAATAATTTTATTCATTATAAATTATTTTTTATGATATTATCGTATTGTTTTCAATATATTTAAATATAATAATGATAATATTTCTTTTTAGAAATATTAAAATATATTATAGAATATTTTAAACAAGTTTATGTAATTTTTCTTTTACCTTTATATATTTATTTTAATTATAATTATACCTTTAATATTATTCATGTACTTATGTACTTAGAATTTTATGTCGCTATGTAAAAATTCGTATTATCAATTATCTGCTTCGATAGTACAGCATTTCGAGGCTGCCGATAAACTCGAGACCTCGATTTCAAATATAATCTTCAACTTGCTAAAAAACGCTTCAAATTTCTTATTTAGATTGAAATGTCAAGCGTGATAATGATTGTCTATGATTAACAATAGAAATTCGATAATAAATTTTTCCAATTTCTTCGCAAATTTTTCTACAAATAATACGATATTCGAATTTCCAAGAAAATCAGGGATCAAGAACGAGCAATTCATTGGACACGATTTGTTAAACAAATCAATGATATTTCGAAATATTTGAAAATACTTTGAAAATACTTTTACACGATGATAAAATACACGTGTTCAGATAAGTCAGACAAGTACGAAACCTAGAAAAGGCTTTAATCCTGATAAGAACATCAAAAATTTGGTCGAAAATGCGACCGATTGTCTTTTTAAAACTTTCTTCTTCTGTGAATTGATAGTTTTTGAATAATTAATTGCAAAATAAAATAAAAGTGTAAGCCACTCGATATTAATCAAGATTAATACGAATAATTATTTATTAGAATTGAAGTCAGAACAAATTCGTGTACGAATCTTGTATCATTATGCATTTGAGGAGAATAGAGAAAACAAATATGACAAAATATTCTTACGATAATTATATATATATTTATAAAAAAATATGTGAAATGTTATATATTTGATCCTATTTTAAAAAATTGTAAAAGCATATCTTTAGATTTTGAATAAAAATATACATCCAAATAAAATAATAGCTCTTGCTCCAATGTCATACTACAATTTAAATATAAAAAATAACTCGACACGTGAAAAATTTTCAAAGAGATATTTAAATATATTCCTCAAAAAGTCACGCAATTTTTAAGTACTTGTTTGAAAGAGGATAGACGTATTTCTTTATTATCGAATTTGTTAAGTCGTTCTCTTTTATTGCTCGTCCATTCAATCGAAAATCTAATTACTTGCCGGATCACTTTGTTAAAATTTATATCTTAATTATTCGTTCCATATCGCCTGTGAAAATAAATAGATTCAACAACGAACACGATTCACAATTGCAGTTGGTTTCACTATTCACAAATTGTATAAAGGAACTTCTCTCTTTTTGTTCCCTCTTTTCTTGTTTCTCTTTTCTTTTATTCGTGTAGAAATTTTAGTACAGAATCGCAGGATTATCCCATTGAAAAATAGAACAAAGCAATATTGAACAGTCTTGCATATATTGTTGTACTTTGATTAGGAAATAGAAATTATAGACATGAATAATATCATGGAAGAGATTGTTCGAGGAAAATTATTTTCTTTTTATGGATAATAAAATTATTTAATATAATGAGAATCATAAAATATGTCGTATTTACTTATAAAAAAAAAAGAAAATACAAACCAGGAGGAAATGGAAAGTTACGATATATATATACTATAAGAGTTATCATGATCAAAGAATGCAGTGTACTGGAGAATTTAATGCATTAAATCACACATTTATCTGCCATAAATAAGAATCAAGCTGCAAAAATTGCAGGATACATTAATTAAATTTAAGAAATAAATTAAAATAATATAATTTATCAAGACTATAACAATGTATTAAAAGTATAAATTCCTTTCCTTTCTGAATTTTTGAAATGAAAGAAAGAGATTCTTTTGGCAGTTTAAATTCAAAAAAAAAAAATTACATAAAAATCGAAATTGAAAATAAAGAAAATATTTAAATATCAAAATAAAAATGCAAATTAATGCTAATTTTATTAATGTAATTTACATTTAATTTTTCGTTAAATATATTTTGTAGTTGATGAAATATTACATACAATTACAAGTTATAATCAAGAATAATTTATATCTTACTTATCTTTATAATAGAGTAAATAGAAATATAAAAACAAAAATATGAAAGATGTAAGAAAAACAAATCACGCAACTGGAGCAACTTCTATCTTTGAGATATGTTTTTATATTTTTATTTTATTTAAAATATGCAAATATATAACAAGTTAACACGTATGCAATTAAAGATGAAGTAAATGTAAATATAAGATAAAATAATTTTCATTGTAATCAATATATATTAATCACGAGATTAATGAGAATATTTATTAACATAATTTTGTATAATTTTAAGCTTTGAAAAATCATTGAAAATATTTGTTAAAGTTGTTGAAAATATTAAGAAAAAAAAAAAAATTGAATTCTAGAATTGTGTTTATTAATTTCCATACAGAAATATTATAAAACAGTCATTCATCAGATAAATTGATTAATCATTTTTATTGATTTCCTATTTTTTAAATATTTGTAAAATAAAAAACTTAATACATTCCAAAATATAATCAATTTTATATGGAAATAACTCGAATAGTATAAAATTTAAAACTATCGTCTAAATTAAACAAATTGTTTTATGTATATTAATTTAGTGATGTAAATTGTGATGAAATTGAGACAATCTACCAAGTTTGATTAGCAGCGCCTCCATCATTATCCATTATCAAAAAACAAAAGGAGCAACAACAAAAGTAAAATTCACATTTTGACTTCGATAAAACTCAGACGATCATTTTCTCTATTTTAGAAACACAGAGGAAAGCTTAAAAAGGCTTTGGCTACGTGGTAATTAGACATTTTTATTAATTAGCCAATTAAGTTGGTAGCGATCTTGATCCCGACCGCATCCTGCCGCGCTTCGTTAAAGGTCGCGGATGCGCGCCAGTGAAATCGAACATAGGGACACGGTGGTTGGAAAAAAAAAAAGAAAACGAGGGTGAAGCTATACGAGGTGGAACCCGCGGAGAAATTAATGTGTAACGTTTACTATCAGCACCGGAATTCGCGACGCTGCACACCCGCCGGAAGTCGCAGGTTTACGAAGAATCAGCAAAGGATCGATTAAACATCAACTCCTTTTCGCTTTCCTTTCTTCGAGTTCCTCGTTTTTGTTTTTATCTTTCTGTTTACCTCTTGTTTTCACCTTGTCTCTTTCTCTCTCTCTCTCTCTCTCTCTCCATTTATACGTTTCATGTGCCATAATTCATATGTAAAATCACGTGTTTGGAAAAATGTTTTTGTTTATTACGAATCATTAATTTATGTGCCCCTCTCGGGTGGATCTAGTGGCGTCGATAAATTCACGTCAATACGTCCTCTCGAATGCAATTTCGAAGGTAATAAGAATCGATACCGGATTCGATTCATTTTTCTTTCG